TCCGAGTACTTCATCCCGTTCACCAGGATGGGGATCAGCCTGCACAGGCAAGGGGGATGATCAGTGGAGATGGGGGTACATAGCCAGAGGCTGCTAACCGTAAAGGGGGGGGGGACTCACTGGAGGAGGTGGCTGGACAGCACCTCCTTGCAGATGGGCTGCTCCGCCAGGGTGAGCCAGAACTCGCAGGCTTCCAGGGCCACGTTCTCATCCGGGTCCTGCGTGCGCTGCAGCATGTACTGGGGGGAGGGGGGGGGGTTAATGGATGGGCTGCACAGGATTGGCTGGGGGCTCTGACTGACGGCACGACGGGCCTATGGCGGAGCCCCACCTGTACGATGCTGTGCATGTGGGGGATAAGTCTGTCGATGCGGACCTCCAGCAGCATCACCAGGGCTCGGCACACGTTCTTCCTCACCTCGGAGTCCTCGTCTGCTGCCAGAGCAAACAGGCTCTGCGGGGCAAGGTGGGGTTAGGGTCACATGGGCAGGGCTGGGTCAACCCAATCCGGGGCGGGGGTGTAGGGGGTGTCCCACCTCAATAAAAGTGTCGATGTTGTCCATCAGTACCTGAGCTTGGCTGATGATGAACTGGTTCACGCAGGCGATGGCGTGGGACCTGGACGTGCAGAGTTCGCACATTTGAGAAAGAATCCCTTTGGAACTCTAATGACAGACATCATACCCTTTCTAATAACACAAGTCTGTACTGTACTTTGTTTTATCAGATTTATAACTTGTATCTTGCTTTGGTGAAAACCGAAATTCTGTGCACACCGATAAAACGGCTTGCAGAAGTATCACCCTCTGGAAGGTGTGGGGGGGCTCACCTGATCTTGGGGCTACAATGTTTGAAGAACTGCAGGAACTTGGGGATCATGATGTTTAAGGGTCGGTCCAGGGCTTCACTGTCAAGCAGCTCCGAAGAGTCCTCACAGATTTTCTGCAGGGCACCAAACGAGCCCTGGGAGGGGCCAGACAATGGGAATCAATGGCAGAAAGGTCCATAACAAGCTCTGGGAGGGGCCAGACAAA